GAAAGAGAGAACACTCCCAGTTACTAACTTTTTCCATTGATACATCTGTTACAAAACAATTTTGTGGTAAACTTCTCTTCCTCTTTGCAAGCAATGCTTTTCTGTATGTGTAGACCTCAGATAAACTACATGATGAATGTGGGGTTTGTGGGTTGTTTTTTGGGACCAAGTAAGCAAATTAGTGAAATATAAACTAGAAGCTCAGCTGACTGCTTTAAAAGTATTGTGCTAGGCAGTAATTATCACAAGGTGCATTTGTCTATGCTTCAGATTTTTTTTAATTCAAAAGTCTTCAGTGGAAGCAGAGTCATATTTGAAATAACTATCTATGGGACTTTCTGGCCAGAAAGCCTTAGTGCAGCAGAGGTGAATGTTTAGATGATTAATAACTTAATTTTTTAAGAGCTTGATGGGCAGGCAGGGAAAATATGCCAAACTGTCCTTGCCTCAGAGGGATTTTTAGTGCCAAAAAAGAACTGCATTGAGGAGGAAAGCTTGTGATTTCACCTCTAAAGACTTTAAGACTACAGGGACGTGCAGAGGGGCAAAGTGGGATTTACTCTAGCAGCAGAAGCTGCTGAGCCCAGCTGTGTTTTCACACCCTTGCCTCAGTGGATTTAAGCTTCTCCAAGCTCCAGGATTGTTCCTCAGCGTAGGTCCATGGGGTAGTTATGCGTGTGTGCCCATAAAGGCTGTATGGAAACTTTTGTCACTGACATTTAATATGTGGCTTGGAACAAATAACAGACAACTTGGTTTGAATTAAAAAGTTTTGACAGTTACGTTTTGCCAAATGTTAGTCAGAAAGGAAAACTGATGGATGTGTCATGTTCGAAAATTCCCAGGGTGTAGTAAACTCATCTGTTTTCAAAAAGTTAGGTTCAGATTCTCCCCCTGCTTCAGAATAAATCTGGAACTACTTCAGGGAGACTGGCAGAAATTAAGGTTGTTTCATTCACCAGGGTAAATGAAATCTGCCTTGAGCCTGCGGCCAGAAAACCTGTATCCACTAGCAGAGGTGTGAAAGCACCGCTGCAGGCAGTAAGGCTGACAGCAATCCTATTAAAGGTAATATTATTCCCACCCCCCACCTTAACCCTCCCTGGGACATCTTGCTATTGCAGTTTTCCATCTCCACATGCTGAGGCGATCTGCTGATGGGCTTTTAAAAAGTTATGTAAGGAGACACACAGATCATGTATAAAGGTGATAAGTTGGCTCATGGGAAAAAGGAATCTTCTTGTTCCCACCTGGGATATTCAAAGACACCTGAAGGCATTTGGCCCCCAAATCCCCTTGGACCCAATGGAGCAGGTGTGCCTGTATCCTTGGTGCTCCTTGGAGATTGCAGTCAGTACCACCTCTGAGTCTTGTTTTCCCAAGGAGTTTTCCCATGTGTTCTCCTCTCAGCTAGCAGCAAACCTGAAAGCCTTTCCATCCAGGCTGCCAAACAACGGTCATTCAGTAAGCGATGGCCTTGGGACACAAGCCCAGGAGAGGCAGAAGTGTCCTCAGCCCATCCCCAGCCCTGACTTACCCATTTCCTTTGAGAACTGCTCACTGGCCAGGAGTCACCCCCCAAGTCAGAAGGCAAAGTTAGATGGATGTCTCCCCTCCAATGCAGCAAGGCCCCACGCAAACCCTAGAGCAGAATCTGGCCAAGGTTTTCAGACTGAGGTGTTAGAACACCGTACAAAGAGTGAGGACTGGTTTCAGAGAGACAGGGAAGTTTACATTGCTGAAGTCCTTGTGCATAAAACCAGACCTTTACAAAGAATGTAAGAACGATCCCTTTTTCTAAAGAGACTTTTTGGATTATTCCTTTGTGATCGCTCCTTTCGGTCTGGCACAACAAGGAGTTACATGGCAGCATGCTTTTTCTTGCTTTATCATTTTCCCTCAGAAAAAGCATCCAGCAATGCTGCCTTTGTGGCTGGTTAAAAGCTTGACACATCAACTCTGAATAATTGAGCCAGGTTAATGGTAGAACATCATTTACATGCCTCCCAATTACTTTTAATGAGCCTGGTTGGTACAGGTGTTTGGAGTAATTGCCAGCTATGGATTTGTTTGGTTTTGTACTTTCTCACTGTTCACAGAGCTGGTCACCTTACAAAGGAAAATCAGTGGAGTAATTTCAGCACAATTATATTTGAGTTATTGGTTTGCAAAGGGCCTTTATTGATGCAGAATATTTTCTTCCTCGGTATTAACCCAGCATTGCCAGCAGCATAGGTAACTCTATCAGGATTACCAAAACCTGCTATACATGCAAGCAAGGACATGGTTTATAGTCAATCCAGAGGCTAGTTACTACCAAAAATAGTGAAATTGTCCTCTTGTGCCCTCTCTGTATCATTCTGTATATTAATTTTATTAATACTTGAGCATAATATGTATTTAGCTGTTGTAATTAATTACAATTAATTAAAAAAATTACATCTTTTTCTGTGTGTACTCGCTTAGCATTGCTGCTTGCCTGCACACATGGTGAGCTGGTTCAGGGAGTTAAATGGGCAGTAAAGTAAGTCCACAGAGAGAGAGAGTGAACTGGTTTCTGCCCATTTAACTCCTTGAACCACATCCGTAAGAAGGTAGATAGCAACAGTGCCGGCACAAGGCAAGTGGTAGGAATGGGTGGCTCAGGACATTGTGTATGGGGAAAGGAGGTGTGAGGAGCCAGATTATCTCATGTGGTTTTAAGACTGCCTAACTGTTAGACTGGTTTCACCTGGAAGGTTTGGGGATTAACAGGTACTGAAAATTGACAGCAATGGAAGTTTAACTATTCTTGAGCATTTGTACCTAGTGTATGTCAGGCAAAGACATACGGAAACGGCCTGAACTCTGTGAACTTCGCACCATCTCAGACAAATCATTGGAAGAAAGAGATAGCCCCTGCAGATAGCTGATTGTCAGGGCAATGGATTTGCTCTCCTGGAAATGCCCTGACAGTGAGGGCTGCAAGACTTGACCGCTTAAGAGAGCGGCACAGTGACTGCAGATGGATGGACAGATTGACATCCAGGCAAAATGGTTACTCCATTGCTGCATGAAGATGCCATCATCGCGTTTTAACACCAAGGTGAACTCGAAGGATTTCTAACTGCAGACTGACTCAGTGGTGTAGCTGTAGGGCACCCAACCACTGGCCCAGCTGTGGGTTCCACACTGTGCCTAACCAGCAGAAGTTGTGGTGGAAAGCTGGTCACAGCTGGGAGGATGCTCAGGACAGGGGCACTGAAAATCCCTACTCTCCAGCCTGCACGCACTGCTGGTGTACTGGCAATATGGGTGTGTTTTTACGGCCGTTGGCCTTACTGCAGGGCAGTCCAGTGGAGCTAAGGACAGGTCTGGGCCAGCAGTGCTCCAGTCAGGCTTTAATTCTTCAAGACAAGGCCATTACTCATTTGCTGCGCTTGCCTCATGGACATGTTTTGCTGAGCAACTTATTCACTGAGTGTGGCCCTCTGCACACCAGGGAGCTGTTACAGTGAGAAACAGATTCCTCCGTGAAGCTTTAAATAAGATTTGTTTTCTCTTTTTATTTTCATTTGGAAGAAGCTCTGTGCTGACATATCAACATGGTTTTCTTCCATCTGTATGTGTTCATCCCTGAATTAGAGCATCTGAGAAGCTGGAGAAGGGGAAAATCATTTTAGTCCATCTAATCTATCCAGGACGTTAAATACAAGATGGGCCACTTTTATATATTTTCCAGAGTTAATGTTCCAGTTGATGTGTTGCTTCTGATTTTTTTAGCTCAATAGATCTTTCTCTTCGAAGGAGGTTGTGATGGCCTTTGTCTCACTACTCTCCCGGTAACTATAATGTCATTGTGCCACCCGCCTTCATCTGTGCAGTATTGACACTTTCCCTTTCAAAAGCAGCTTTTAATAAATGTTGACCAAGCCCAGACAAATTCTTTGTTCCACTGTCGTTCATGCTTCCTACTGACAGACCCTCTAATTGCAGCTTTGCTGCTGAAAATGTTATAGGCTTGGCTGTTTAATATGACACTGTGATCCCTGTCCTTGCCTCCGTGGAGCATCAGTGGCTTGCAGACCGCAGTTTGTGGCTATCTTGGTTCCCATGCCCTGCTTTTGCCAGGCTGAAGGCATTAATATAAGTAATTGTTTCTCTGAATGAGCACTGGAAGGCATTTCCTCAATGGTGGCATTTCATGGCTAAATCTCAATTATCACTGCTCCTGGTGGTGTGGGGAGATGTGCAGACAGGGAAGCAGGACTTCAGTTCTTGGCACAAGGCACTTCACCATTAACAGACAAATATTCAAAAGAGCCCAAGAGGGTGGAGTTGAGGATTTGCACAACTTTGGCCTTAAGTGATTTGCTCAGAGTCATTAGTGAACAGGTCTGTGACTGTCAGATCCAATCTGCTAACCTGAAGAGAGAACAGGTGCCTCTCACAACATTACGCACTTCAGTACTGCGGCCTAACGTTATGGACTTCAGTGCTACAAACTCAGGTTTCTCCAGATTTAAGGCTACAGGTTCCGTGACAGCTGAGGAGGCACTTTCCAAGTCTAATTTCTGGATTTATGCCCTCAGACTTTGCCCGTTAGTCTTTCAGCTCTGAAAGCACTCTATGGGCTTGGGCCACAGCCAGCGTGTATGTTAGTACACACTGTTTTATGTAGTATAAATGCATGTGAAGTGAGGTGATGTCCATTGCAATGAAGTACTAATGAACTCCATAGAACAGTGGAGCTGATTGTACTCAGCTTCGTTTGGGAACAGAGATCAATGCAAATTAAATTTGTTCTCACAATAGCAGCAGGATCCCTGGGAAAGCTGAGAGGAACTGGAAAGGGGCATTTTAGAAAAGATGTTAAAAAGTGATTTACAGAAGATTAAAAGATGACGTAAAATA